TTCTCAAACGCACTCAGATCACTTCCTGTACACGTTCTTCTCAAACGCACTCAGATCACTTCCTGTACACGTTCTTCTCAAGCACACTCAGACCATTCCCTGTACACGTTCTTCTCAAACGCACTCAGACCATTTCCTGTACACGTTCTTCACACTCCGAACATTTCCTGTACACGTTCTTCTCAAGCGCACTCAGATCATTTCCTGTACACGTTCTTCTCAAGCACACTCCGAACATTTCCTGTACACGTTCTTCTCAAGCGCACTCAGATCATTTCCTGTACACGTTCTTCTCAAGCACACTCCGAACATTTCCTGTACACGTTCTTCTCAAATGCACTCAGATCATTTCCTGTACACGTTCTTCTCAAACGCACTCAGATCACTTCCTGTACACGTTCTTCTCAAGCACACTCCCAACATTTCCTGTACACGTTCTTCTGAAGCATACTCAGAACATTTACTCAGATAAACCGTGTTCTGGACCAGAACACACATACACATCTGTATCAGTTTAAGAAGTTTCGAGGAATACAGTCTGTTCTCTGACCACAAATAAATCATGTTAGAAATCAAAAGCAGAAAGACATCTGAAATTATTTCAAATATCTGAAAACTAAGCAACACGATTCTACATAACATAAAACAAAGAGTAAGTCAAAAGTTAAATTAGAAATTTTCAACTGATGAAAATAAAAGCAATATATCAAAATTTATGGAATGCCACTTAAAAAGTACTGACAGAAAAGTTGTAGCACTTTATAAAACACCCATACCAGAAAATAAGAAGAGTCTTAAATCAATGATTAGCACCTTGAGAAATTAGAACACAAAAGAAAATTAAGCCCAAAGTAAGTAGAAAAAAGGAAATAATAGAAATACAGAAAACTATATATATATATATATAAATTAACAAAACCAAAATTCAGTTCCGTGGAAAGACTAATAATATTATCAAACACATAGTGGGAAGAGAGAAAGTCACAAATTACCAAAATCACGAATGGGAGAAGGGACATTATTCATAAATTAAAATGATAATAAAGGAATATTATTGTACTGTGTTAAATAAAATTCCAAAAAATTGTGTATATCTGGAACCTGTGAGTATGACATTCTTTGTAAATAGGATCTTTGCAGATGTAATCAAGTTAATATGAGGTTATACTGGAATGGAATGAATCCTAAATCCAATGACTGGTGTCCTTATAAGACAGGAAACTTTGGACACAGAGAGACACACAGGGAAAATGCCACATGAAGATGAAAGCAGAGACTAAAGTACCTAGGAGCCACAGAAGGCTAAGGATTTCCATAAACCACCAGAAACCAGGAGAAAGGTGTGGAACAAGTTCTGCTCAGAGCCTCTGGAAGGAACAAACCCTGCCCATACCTTCATTTTGGACTTCTAACCTCCACAAACATGAGATTTCTGTTGTTTTAAGCCACTCAGTTTATGGTAATTTGCTACAGAAATCCTAGGAAAGTGATAAACAAATTTATGACAATACATGTGAAAATTTAAATGAGCTGGGCAAATTTATTGAAAGTAACAAAAACTACCAAAACTCACACAAAAAGAGATAACCTATCTATCTCTGTATCTATTAAGAAAACAGAATTATAGTAAAATGTTTTCCACAGAGAAAACTCCAGGCCCAGAAAAATTAACTAATTCTACCAAACATTTAAGGAAGAAATAAGGCAAGTTCTACTAAAAAGTTATTCCAGAAAACAAAAGAGGAAGGAATACTTCTTAACTGATTATGTAAAGCCGTTATTACCTGATTCCAAAGTCAGGAAAAGGCATTACAAAAAAAAAAAAAATAAAACTATAGATCAACATCCCTTGTGAACATAGATATAAAAATTCTTAACAAAATTTTAGTAAACCAAATCCAACAATGTATAAAAAGATCAGTACATCATGGCCAAATTTATCTGAGGAATGCAAGATTCATTTAGCATTCCCAGATCAACCAATGTAATCTCCATATTAACAAACTAAAACAGAAAAACTATATTTTCATCTCAATCGATAGAGAAAAAATGTTTGAGACAATCCAGCACCCATTCTTCACAAAGGCACTTAGCAAAGTATAAAAAGAAGGGAGCTTCTTCAACCTGATAAAGGATGTCAAAAAAAAAAAAAACCTACAGAAACATCATACTTAATAGTGACAGACTGAAGATATTCCCCTAAGACCAGGAGCGAGATGTCTGCTCACCACTTCTATTCTATTCAACATTGCACTGAAAGATCTCATCAGTACAATACAATAAGGCAAAAAAAAAAGAAAGAAAGAAAGAAAGAAAAGAAAAGCATTCAGGTTGGAAAGGAAGAATTAAAATTCTCTATTCACAGATGCCATGATCATCTATGTAGAAAATTCAGTGGAGATTCTTAAAATGCCTCAAACTGATAGGTGAGGGTAGCAAGCTTGCAGGTTACAGAGTCCTATAAAAAAAAATTGTATTTCTGTATGCTAGCAATAAAAATCATACATTAAAATTCTTTAAATACCGTGAAAGTAGCATCAGAAAATACGAAATTATGTGATAAACCTGATGAAAGATTTGGAAACTACAAAACACTGTTGAGAGAAATAAAAGGAGACATAATCATGTTCTTGGGTGGGAAGACTCAATAGTATTAGGATGTCAGTTCTCCCCAAATTCATCTACAGTTTCAACATAATCCCACTCAAGCAGATTTTTTTGTACATAATAACAAAATGATTATAAAATTTATATGTAAATGCAAAAGACTTAGAATATCTACAACAACTTTGAAAAAAAAAAGGACAAAGAGAACGAACACTCCTAATTTGAAGACTGGCTACAAAGCTCCAGTAATTATATGACAGAGTGACACTGTCATAAAGACAGTCAAATAAGTCAAGGGAACAGAAGGGAGGTGGAGCCCCTCTACAGTAACCTTGCACAGCCCCTCCAAAAGGCTGCAGGCCAGCCCTGAAGCCCTACCTGAGCTCACCTGGGAATGGGCACCTGTGAGCTCTGCCTGCTCCAGGCAACCTCCACACAGGTGCAGCTCAGACACCTCTGTACCCTCCTCCTGGATGGGCCTCTTCCACCCAGGTCATCCCCAGTGGCCAGGGACACCAATCGAACCCCCTCCTTTCCTTATTTTGTCACCTATCCATGGTCCTGTAGACTTGACTTTCGGTGTCATTGGCCAGCAGTTTGTCCTAAAGTCCTCTGTATTCAGAGGCCAAGAGACTAGCCTGACCCCGGTAAGGCTCCAGGGAGCTGGCCTGGCCTGGCCTGCCAGTCAGTGTTCCTGTGACAGGCACAAGGCGAGCACCCAGCCCATTCCCGCAGAACCCACCTGCTGTAGCGACACACAGGACGGGGCAGCGAGGGACTGCGATTGAAAGCTCTGTCCACAGCTCTGTGGCTAGAGGCAGGTCACTGGCCTCACAGAGCCTATGGTGGGAAGGAGACAAATGGGTCGACAGGTGCCCACATGGTTGCCAGGAACATTTCAGAATGCAGGTGTGTGGTGGCCAGGCAGCCAAAGGGCCTCACCTGGCCAAGGTGGGCCACAAGGCAGCCCAGAGGAGGTGGCTTCAAAACAAGTCCTGGAGGACAAGCAGGAGTCAGCTCTAACTCTATTTAAGTCCTCTGTGCAGAGTGTTGCTCTCTGGGGTCAATTACAAGGATGAGGATGAAGCAGAGGGGACGGGAGTGTGTGGTGGAGCCAGGTAGTCTAGTTCCAAAGTAAACAGCGTTCCCACCCCAATGCCAGGGAGATGTGGCTGTAAAAGTGGAGACCTGCCCAAAGAAAGAAGCACAGTGGCCTGCAATACTGTCCAGAGACCACTGTCATATACCCATGTCTGCTTGCTGCCCCAGCCTGGCTGCCATGCCCCACTACAGAACTATGCCTTGAACAATTGGAATTAGCACCAAGGCTTGCATTAGGGCTTGTGTTAGGGGTGTGTGGTCTAAGGCAGTGCTCCCCTGGTCCTGTCAGGCCAGCGGGGCTTATGGCTGACCTGGTAAGCCTTTGGAAGTCCTCAGCCCCTCAACTGCTTGCTTGGACTTTGGGGACACCTAGCCACGTAAAGACAGGGCTCTGCAGTAAGCCAGCCCTTTAGACTCTGGGTGCAACAGGTTCCCTGGGCAAGATGAGACCATTCCTGGGGTGGAAAGAAAAGGGTCCTGCTGTGATAGATGCCTGTCCTCACTGTCTCAATGGCTCAGACACAAAACCAGATATAACAGGAGCCTCTGGCCAAGCAGCAGCAATGAGGGAATGATTAAAAAACAAACGCAGACACCTCAGCCAGGCGCAGTGGTTCATGCCTATAATCCCAGCACTTTGGGAGGCCAAGGTGCGTAGATCACCTGAGGTCAGGAGTTCAAGACCAGCCTGGCTAACATGGCAAAACCCTGTCTCCACCAAAAGTACAAAAATCAGCCAAGTGTGGTGGTGGGTACCTGTAATCCCTGCTGAGGCAGCAGAATCGCTTGAACTCAGGAGGCAGAAGTTGCAGTGAGCTGAGATGGTGCCACTGTACTCCAGCCTGGGTGACAGAGTGAGATCCTGTCTCAACAACAACAACAAAAAAAATGCAGGTGCCTTTGTCCAGGCCATGTGGTCTACCTTACTTTATTCACAGCATGTTCCCTGGGCATGGGTGTGAGGATGGGCTGTCTCCAATGGCGTTATTCGGCAGGCACTCTGAAGTGCTTCCCCAAACCCTGTTGTCTATTTTCCTGGACTTGAGTAATGGTGCTATTAGATCTTCATTAAATTTGGGAGTTGTTCTCACCAACTCAGTCAGAGATAAAATATTGTTTTTCATATTTCCAAAGTTTCTTACGATAATGGTCCAGGGCTGGAGTCTGGGATTTCCTCTCTCATCCTCTCCTGATACTGGGTTTAAATTTTGAGAGAGTGAGTTATTTGTTTGTCTGCCTCAGGCATCGGACATTCTTCACTAACAGCATGAAAGATGAGAAGGCTGCTCTTCCCTAAGACCATGTTATTTGTGGTAATCACTTCTGATATCTTATTGTTTGAATATGGTAGGTTCTTTTGTGTCATATTTTATAGACAGCTTTTGTGATCAATATTTGATATCAATTGGTAGAATTACTGTTTCTCACTTTGCACAAGTGTCTAGCATAGATTATGCTTCCAATATAGATTAAAGAGCAAGTCTGGATTTTTTTTCTTGCCAAATTATTGCTGGCAATGAGGCAGCTGGGACACCCGGATGGAGGTGGAATCCACTCACCCTCTCCCTACACGGCAGCACAAACAGAGGCTTGGAACAGGGTGCGCATCTGGTGCCGGCTCTTCCTTGAGGCCCTGTGGCTGAAACAGAGAAACTCCCGCCCTGGTCTTGGCCCCATGGACCAAGCACCTGGGAACCAGCATCCACCAGACTATTCTTGCCTGGACCCCACTGCTGAGTCCTAGGGAAAGGAACTGAGTGGAAATAAATTGGTGAGACATGGAATGTGATTGAAAGGGGGCAATTCTTACTCAGTCAGGAGAGAGGCAGTTACAATTCCAGATTTGCAGGGTGGGCAGTTGGGCGATGGGGACCCTGGACTCATACCGATTAAGGAAGAAGACAATGATATCACTTTTGGACGCATTGGGGCTGGCCTGCTCATGGCACATCCCAGTGATGCCAACTAGCACATAAGCTGTCAACCTCAAATAATGAGGTTCAGAAAATATGATTAACTATAGCTTATTTGAACACAAAGCTTGCAGATGGCCATCCGGGAGACCCCAACTTCGAACGAATGAGGTCAGTGTCCCAAAGTGAAGTTAAGGTTTCACTTACCTAAACAGAGGCAGGGAAATCTTAGCAGGAACAACATTTTCCATACAAGACAAACATACAGGGTGCGGGGATTGATTGGTTACAGACTGCTGCTTGAGGAGGGGCAGTGACTTGAGGGCATTTTATCTCTGGTAGTACTTGGTCTTGGTCTTTATTATTTACCGGGGAAAAAAGGTAGAAGTTGCAGCCGTGTGACTCGGGCTGCACAGCCACATTCCTCTCGAGGCTCAGAACAATTTAAAAGTCCAACAGCTTTAAGTTTGAATTCTTCAATTTCACAGAGCCAAAGAGGTCACATGTAACAATACAGATTTCAGAGTCATTAGTGCTCATCTGGCTCACTCCCCAGGCAAACGTTGATTGAGGGCCATCTGGGCATAGGACAAGAATAGGAACTTCTTGAATAAGAAACCATAGTTGACCGGGGTCCAGGCGTTGGGGGCGGCTCAGAAGGCGGAGGTTGGAGGGCTGGCAGGCTGGAAGAACTGTGGAGCTCTGGAGAGCGTGGTGGGGGTGGTGAAGGGCCAACCATGGGCAGTGAGGGATGGATTCCTAGGGCTAAGGAGTCCAGCAGTACCACAGCCAACTTTGGGGGAATTGCGGGTCTACAGCTTGGGAGCTGCTGGCAGTGTTAGGAGGTGATCAGGCAAAGGCTTAGTGAATCAGGAGGAAGGGAAACCACCCACGGGTGGGGAGCCTCAGAGGAAGGGAACCTGCAGGTGGCATAGAGGCCGTGCCCATCCCCACGCAGCCCTGTCCTCTGCTCTGTGTGTGCGCTGTCGACAACCAGGAGAAACAGCTCGGGGACAGCGTCCAGCAAGAGCAGGGCAGGTGGGAGGACGGCCACTAGGGCGGGGCCAGAACTCTGCCCAGGGTCTTCCGGCCACCTGGATCTTCGGGTGAGAGTGGAACATGAGGTGATGGAGAGGAAATGGAGGGACTCACTTTACACCTCACTGCCTCCAGCAACTGGAAGCCACACAGCAATTTAAGGAGGGTTATTCTGCCCTGGAGTTTCTCTAGAGTGGAGGGGAGGGAGGGAGAAAGGAAGCAAACTCACTTTGCCCTTCCCCGCCTCCAGCATGCATAGACAAGAGGTTGATTCTCTAGCTGACCGAATGTCTTGCTTTTTATATGATGTTGTCACATCCAGTTAGCACAGTCTTCATCTGTTATCCAAGATTCCTAAGAGAGATTTATTCCTTTGTTTTTAATAAGTGGTCAAAAAGCCTTCAGGTCATTAGATAATATGAAACTGTTTTCTGGGTGTCTGACTCAGCCTGGCCTGCTGCAACAAAATGCCGTGAGCGGGGTGGCTCATAAACAATAGACTTTTATTTCTCACAGCTGAAGAGTCTGGGTGCCAGCATGGCCGGGTTCCGGGAAGAGCCCTCTTCAGAGCTGCAGGCTTTCAACTTCTCACTGTACCCTCACATGGTAGAGAGACAGAAGCAGCGAGGTCTCTGGGGTACCTTGTAAAGCCCTCTACCTCAAGACCCACTCATCTTCCAAAGGCCCCACCTCTTAACACCATCACACGGGGGGTTAGGTTTCAACATAGCAATTTGGGGAGGACACAAATATTCAGACCATAATGCTGGGTCCAGAGTAAGGGAAAATATTTATTAGTATCTCAGGGCAAGACGACATACCTTATTAAGCTAGAAGGTCTTTTTCTCACTTATCCTTAATTGCAAAAACGAACTGACTCCCCACGCATGTGCTGCCTGTGGGAAGAGACAGGGCCCCGGGGAAGATGCTGCAAAGCCTTGATACTCAGACCAGCAGCGTCAGGTGAGCCGTGCCTGGAGGTAGAGGATCTCAAAACGCAGGATCTCCGGCCCCACCCAGACCTACTGATCCCAGTCTCCATTTTGATGAGACCCTCCAGGAGATGACAGAGCACTTCGTAGTTTAAAAGCTTTGGACCAGACTCTGTGTACATCCCTGAACAAAATGCCTGTAGCTCCAAGGCTTCCAGGAGAAAACTAGTCCGGAAGCGCAAACCTAATCCTCAGCAGTTCTCAGTCATAACCCTAATTACCATCAACAGTGTTGATGGCTGTTGATACGCCTGCATTTGGTAATCCTCCCAACCCTAGGAGCTGACTATATTATTATGGTCCCCTGGTCCAGGTGGAAATTCGGAGGCTCCTAGAAGTCAGGGAACTTGTTAAGGTCACCCAGTTTGTAAGAGGCAAACCTGGTCAGCCTGAATCCCCAGATGCCACAGATTTCCCAGATGCCACAGATTTCCGGGAATGTAAAGGTATTCACCGGGTCCATGATACAGGACAGCTCAGTGACGCTCCTGAGCAACGCTGGACCGTGCAGTTAATGGTTTGCTGCAATCATATAATGGAATGATATTCCATATGCAACAACGATGTTTTTAAAACCACCAGTGATACAGAGGAATCCTCATTTTGAAATAGTTCTTGAAAAAATATAACGTAAAAACATATACAATACATACACACATACAGAGACAGAGAAAGAGAGAGAGAGACCAGTCCAGTAACTCAAAATGTCCACACTAATTGAAGATGTGACTCCCGTGTGACTGAATGATTCTACCCCTCTGGGGAGAGGTTCAAGGTTACACTAGAGACATACGCATGAAGAGTCCTCATGTGCACCATTTTAACAGCAAAATATTGGAATAAACTCAAACGTCCAGTACTCACAGAATGGATGAATAAAACATGGAATATTTTCAGTCAGTGAAAGACTATCCAGCATGTTAATAAAAACCAGATCTGGCCAGGCGCGGTGACTCATGCCTGTAATTCTAGCGCTTTGGGAGGCTGAGGCAGGCAGATCACCTGAGGTCTGGAGTTCGAGACCAGCCTGGCTAACATGGCAAAACCCCGTCTCTACTAAAATTACCAAAAATTAGCCAGGTGTAGTGGCGGGCCCCTGTAATCCCAGCTACTCAGGAGGCTGAGACAGGAGAATTGCTTGAACCCGGGAGGCGGAGCTTGCAATGAGCCAAGATCACGCCACTGCACTCCAGCCTGGGCAACAAGAGTGAAACTCTGTCTTAAAAAAAAAAAAAAAAAACAAAAAACAAACAAACAAAAAACTAGATCTTTATGAAAGAGATCTTCTTTTTTTGAGAAATATCAATGGTGCGCACCTGTCATCCCAGCTACTCAGGAGTCTGAGGCAGGAGAATCACTTGAACCCAGGAGCCAAAGGTTACAGTGAGCCATTATTGTGCCATTGCACTCCAGCCTCAGCAAAAAGAGCAAAACTCCATCTCAAAATATAAAAAAAAAAAGAGAGAAGAAATCAAAATCACTGAAAAATCAATGGTGCGCACCATTGATATTTCTCAAAAAAAGAATGTTTAATCAAAAAGGTGTGCTGAATAAAACTTTTAGTATATCATTTATATGCATTCTTAGAAACATAAAAAACAATCCTCCAAATCACTCATTGTTACACCCATATAGACTGAATAGGCTGAAACAGACTGAGAAGATACACACTGAATGACTGGCTGTTGCGACGGGCCTGGGGCAGGAGTGGCGGGCATCAAGGGGGCCTCAAATCTATACTATGTTTTAATTCCTTAGAAAGCAAAAAAGATTTGCGAGAGATGTAATCTATATTAACAGTTGTTAGAACTTCTATGTGGTAGATATACAAGTGCTTGTTATATTTGTAGTTTTCTGCTATTTTAAGATTTCTATATTTGAATTTATATATCCCATTGAAAAGTTTGGAAGAAAGTACATAATGTATTAACGATGTTGTCCTCTGGGTGATTTTGATTTCTTCTCTTTTTTTTTTTATTTTGAGATGGAGTTTTGCTCTTTGCCAAGGCTGGAATGCAATGGCACAATATTGGCTCACTGCAACCTTTACCTCCCGGGTTCAAGTGATTCTCCTGCCTCAGACTCCTGAGTAGCTGGGATTACAGGTGCTCACCATCATGCCTGGCTGATTTTGTATTTTTAGTAGGGACAGGGTTTCACCATGTTGGCCAGGCTGGTCTCGAACTCCTGACCTCAGGTGATCTGCCTGCCTCGTCCTCCCAAAGTGCAGGGATTACAAGCGTGAGCCACAGCGCCGGCCTCTTCTTTAAATTTTTCCGTATTTTCCAAATTTTCTGTTAGAATCTGTAACTTTCATAATCAGTAGATAAATAGATCCACCTCCCAATTTTCCAAGAACAAATGCACTTCCCGTCTCTGTGCTTTTGATACAAAGCAGAGCATACTGTTGAAGCCAAGCATAGTGGAAAATCAACAAATGGAACAGTGCTGGTATCTGACAGCACATTTTCTTTTTTTTTTTTTTTTTTTTTTTTTTTTTAGACGGAGTCTCGCTCTGTCGCCCAGGCTGGAGTGCGGTGGCGCGATCTCGGCTCACTGCAAGCTCCGCCTCCCGGGTTTACGCCATTCTCCTGCCTCAGCCTCCCGAGTAGCTGGGACTACAGGCGCCCGGCACCGCGCCCGGCTAATTTTTTGTATTTTTAGTAGAGACGGGGATTCACCGTGGTCTCGATCTCCCGACCTTGTGATCCGCCCGCCTCGGCCTCCCAAAGTGCTGGGATTACAGGCGTGAGCCACCGCGCCCGGCCTCTGACAGCACATTTTCTTAAAGAAAACAACTAGAAATTCAGGAGGTGCAAACTGTTGAGATGAAAGAATTTTAGCACAGCTTCTCTATCCCTATTCGATTCTATCTCATGCCTATTCTGTGGTAAAACAAAGGCAGGGACTACTTCCTAGACATCTGGGTGCTTCCTGCATGCAGCTCGTTCTACCTCTGAATACTGGAACCGGGCCACGCATTACAGGTTATCTAGTGACGCCCATCATTGTACCATCAGGGAAACTGAGGCTGAGAACGACAAACAGGCTTGCAGGAGGTCAGACTGCGGCGGGAAGCTGAGTCTGACTCTTGTCACACTGCCGCTCTGAGTGCCGCTCAGCATACCGTGGACAACGGGGGTGAAATCACACTCGTGCCTAAATATGAGAAATAAGATAAATGTCAACCAAGCAATGAATTCACATTCTCTTAAAAAGAAGTAAACGTAAATTGCATTGTAGAGCAAAGCTAACATAGCTCTCTTCATTAGGCCCAGATTCCTATTTCTGGCCTCAAAGTCTAATTGCCTACTTGAGTAGGAGTCTCCTCCTTTACTGAATTCACTTGGTCCTGGATGATGCATTTGGATTTCAGCAGGTGCAGGTAAATTACACAGCTGCCTTTCCACCAAGCTTTCAATCGCGCCATGCAGGACTTCCGGAAAGTGACCTGCATCAAAGCAGAGGGTCTCACTGAGCGACAGTCAGGGAAGGAGGACCCTTCACCACTTCTGCTCATTCCATGCAGGATGCCCGGGTGGCTGCTCTTCACGTTTCCATAAGCACCTCGGAGAGTTTTAAAGAAATAAAATAATACAGCGACGGTTGAGGTTTGCCCTGTACCCCTCCCCTGTCCCACTCCCTTCCCAGCAAGCAAAGTCTTCTCCTGAAGTTAGCATGCATTCCTCCCGTCCTGAGAAAATACTTTAATCTCCTTGCGCATCTAAAGAATGCAGAGTGATGCTTTTTTATTACTATTTACACCAAGTCACACTGAATTTATAACACGGAAACATGCTTTCTTCATTCACCATTGTTGCTCTAAGTGCTCTTGGAGTGGAGACATGTAAATCTAGTTCATTTATTTTCATTGCTGTTAGAATGTGTGCATAGGAATATACCATAATTTATTTATCTAATTCCCCCCAGTGGGCATTGAGATATTTCCCTACTGTAAACAGGGCTCCTGAAACCTGTTCCTATCTTCCCCTCTCATGGAGGTGCTGCCCTGGGGAGGGTGCCTGGTGATAGACCCTCCAGTAGTACTTATTCAGCCTCATCAGGGCTCACCTGGCTGTTCTCCAAGGCAGGCTGAGGTCCTCTCCTCCCAGCAGCACAGCCTGTGCTAGCCCAGCCCACGTCCCTCTTGTCACTGCTGCAATCTGTCCAGGGGTGTCCCGTGGCCATATGAATGGGCACTCCTCAGCCCCAGCTGGGGTGAGCGAGCATATTTTTCCATGCGTATTAGCCACTAGGTATTTTTCTTCTGTGAAATGTGTGATCATGTCCTGTGACCACTTTTCTGGAGGATCATTTGTCTTTCTTCTGTCCTTGGGTGATAGGCTCATACGTGAGCCTAGG